AGACGATGGAGCGAGCCTGCTTGGGTGCCTCCATATCAAGCTGCTTGCTCTGGGGACACTCGGCAGGTGAGAGGGGCCAGGAGAGCAAAAAAAAAAAAAAAAAAAAAAAGGATTGGGACTGCTCTGTGCAAAACCACGTTTGTTACTTAAAAAAAAAAAAAAAAAAAAAAAAAACAACAAAAACCTTTTAATATCACTTTACGTTGACTTCAAATCTATTGGTTTGCTCAACAAAAAAAAAACACAAAAAAAATTAATTTTCTATAGACAAATGAATTTGGAACACAGTTTTAATAAAAAAAACTGCTCTTTTTTATTATATGCTGTATATAATTTTTTCCTAATTTTTTTATTTTTTTTAATTCTGTAAATGTATCAAACAATTACAGTATTAGACATATAAGAAATTAATTTGGTCCACAGTTTTAATAAATAAAAAAAACTGCTCTTTTTTATTATATGCCGTATACATTTTTTTCCCTAATATTTTAATTTTTTTCATTCTATAAAAGTATCAGACAATTACAGTATTAAACAGACATAAGAAATTAATTTGGTGAACAGTTTTTTAAAATAAATAAATTATTTTAAAATAAAAAAATACATTGAAAAAAACTGCTTTTTTATTATATGCCGTATAAATTTTTTTTCTTATTTTTTTAAATTCTGTAAATGTATCAGACAATTACAGCATTAAACAGACATATAAGAAATTAATTTGGTACAGTTTTAATGAATAAAAAAACTGCTATTTTTTTTTATTACATGCCGTATAAAACATTTTTTTCCCTAAAATTAATTTTTTTTTTATTGTATAATCAGACAATTACAGTATTAAACAGACATATAAGAAGTTAATTTGGTACACAGTTTTTAAAAATAAATAATAAATTATTTTAAAATAAAAAATAAATTTAAAAAACTGCTCTTTTTTATTATATGCCGTATAAATATATTTTTTTCCCTAATATTTAATTTTTTTTTCATTCTATAAATGTATCAGACAATTACAGTATTAAACAGAGGCTTGCTGCCACCTACAGGCCGCAGTGGAACCATTAATTTCTGAATTTATTTTCACTCACAGAGAAGATATACCGAGCTTCGCCATTGGCCAGTGTGAGAATATTGAACTGTAACTAGTAAAAGGCGGAGCTCCGGCACTAATATGTTCGGCGTGATAAATCCCCCTCCCCCTCCCCTCCCTCCTCTTTTCACATTTGTAACAGCAGCTTACACCCCTCCGCGCTATTGTCTGCAGCCCGCCGCAGCCCCCGCCCCCACCCGCAGCCCGCCCCCGCCTTTTGTTCGGCGTTTTGGACTTATATAATAAAAGTCGGGGTGCTAAGACTCTGTGAAGGAGCAATAATGACACTTCGGGAAATCGCTTTTTTCAGATCCGACGGCCGGAGATCAATTGGGAAGAAAATAAAATGCTGGTTTACGACCGCTGCTCGTCACATGGAAAGAGCGCGGGGTGAAGGAGCTTCCCAGGTCTGTACCCCCGCTGTACCCGTTATGAGGGGTTCCCACCATCCCTGTGCTGAGTTCCCGGGGTCTGTACACCCGCTGTGCCCATCATGAGGGGTTCCCACCATCCCAGTGCCCATTATGAGGGGTTCCCACTATCCCTGTGCTGAGTTCCTGGGTCTGTACGCCCGCTGTGCCCATTATGAGAGAGTTCCCACCATCCCAGTGCCCATTATGAGGGGTTCCCACCATCCCTGTGCTGAGCTCCCGGGTCTGTACGCCCGCTGTGCCCATTATGAGGGTTCCCACCATCCCTGTGCCGAGTTCCCAGGTCTGTACACCCGCTGTTCCCATTATGAGGGGTTCCCACCATCCCTGTGCAGAGTTCCCAGGACTGTACACCCGCTGTGCCCATTATGAGGGGTTCCCACCATCCCTGTGCTCATTATGAGGAGTTCCCACCATCCCTGTGCCCATTATAAGGGGATCCCACCATCCCTCTGCTGAGTTCCCGGGTCTATACACCCGCTGTGCCCATTGAGGAGTTCCCACCATCCCTGTGCTGAGTTCCTGGGTCTGTAAGCCCACTGTGCCCATTATGAGGGGTTCCCACCATCCCTGTGCCCATTATGAGGGGTTCCCACCATCCTTGTGCCAAGTTCCCAGGTCTGTACACCTACTGTGCCCATTATGAGGGGTTCCCACCATCCCTGTGCTGAGTTCCCGGGTCTGTACACCCGCTGTGCCCATTTATGAGGGGTTCCCACCATCCCTGTGCTGAGTTCCTGGGTCTGTACACCCGCTGTGCAAATTATGAGGGGTTCCCACCATCCCTGTGCTGAGTTCTCGGGTCTGTACACCCGCTGTGCCCATTATGAGGGGTTCCCACCATCCCTGTGCTGAGTTCCTGGGTCTGTACCCCCGCTGTGCCCATTATGAGGGGTTCCCACCATCGCAAAAGTGACATCACCAATCCTCCCTCTAGGTCTGCTGAGACTAGTAGTGCCTCAGGTGATCACATACGGCGGATGCACAGGGCTGGAGGAAGGTTGGAGGCCTTTCCCCTGAAACGCATTGGCTGTATTTCATGGCGGCCATTTTTACTTGTACACCCCCCCCCCCCCACATGATGTTTCAGAGATTGAAGGGCTCTTTTTGAACTCTTTGGCAGGTGCTCTTTATCTTTGATCTCTTATCTGTTTTGTTCGATCGTTGAACCTTCACCTTTCACCGGCGGCCGTTCTCGGTTTTTAGGCTCCTTTGATTGGGATGATGTCGATGAAAGGATCTCTTGTCTCTCGAATTCTCCGGCCATCTTCACATTGTCTGCCCATTGAGGCTCCTCATCTCGGACATTTCCCTCCTCCTCCTCTCTATTGTCCTTTGTCTTCCTTCATTCCCCGGACTATCTGCCTTTGGATTGGTCCTCCTATCCGGGACGTTTTTTGTTGCTCTGTCCTGGATGTCTTCACGTATTTCTCTCCTTGTTCTTCAGCTGCTACAGAATGATGAGGACAGATCTGTCTGCGACCCGCAAATTCTAGTGGTTTGTCGGTTTCTGTACTGCAAAGTCAACACTGCCACTTGTTTGACTGGAGGGGGAAGAGGCGAGCGCCAGCTAAGTGTAGCAGTAGAGGGAAGAGACGAGCGCCAGCTAAGTGTAGCAGTAGGGGGAGCAGGCTCGTCTCTTCCCTCTACTGCTACACTTAGCTGCCGCTCGTCTCTTCCCTCTACTGCTACACTTAGCTGCCGCTCGTCTCTTCCCTCTACTGCTACACTTAGCTGCCTCTCGTCTCTTCCCTCTACTGCTACACTTAGCTGCCTCTCGTCTCTTCCCCCTACTGCTACACTTAGCTGGCGCTAGTCTCTTCCCTCTACAGCTACACTTAGCTGGCGCTCGTCTCTTCCCCTACAGCTACACTTAGCCGCCGCTCGTCTCTTCCCTCTACTGCTACACTTAGCTGCCGCTCGTCTCTTCCCCCTACAGCTACACTTAGCCGCCGCTCGTCTCTTCCCTCTACTGCTACACTTAGCTGCCGCTCGTCTCTTCCCCCTACTGCTACACTTAGCTGCCGCTCGTCTCTTCCCCCTACTGCTACACTTAGCTGCCGCTCGCCTCTTCCCCCTACTGCTACACTTAGCTGCCGCTCGCCTCTTCCCCCCCTACTGCTACACTTAGCTGCCGCTCGCCTCTTCCCTCTACTGCTACACTTAGCTGCCGCTCGCCTCTTCCCTCTACTGCTACACTTAGCCGCCGCTCGTCTCTTCCCCCTACTGCTACACTTAGCCGGCGCTCGTCTCTTCCCTCTACTGCTACACTTAGCCGGCGCTCGTCTCTTCCCCCTACTGCTACACTTAGCCGGCGCTCGTCTCTTCCCCCTACTGCTACACTTAGCCGGCGCTCGTCTCTTCCCTCTACTACTACACTTAGCTGCCGCTCATCTCTTCCTTCTACTGCTACACTTAGCCGGCGCTCGCCTCTTCCCTCTACTGCTACACTTAGCAGGCGCTCGTCTCTTCCCCCTACAGCTACACTTAGCCGCCGCTCGTCTCTTCCCTCTACTGCTACACTTAGCCGCCGCTCGTCTCTTCCCCCTACTGCTACACTTAGCCGCCGCTCGTCTCTTCCCTCTACTGCTACACTTAGCCGCCGCTCGTCTCTTCCCTCTACTGCTACACTTAGCTGACGCTCGCCTCTTCCCTCTACTGCTACACTTAGCCGCCGCTCGCCTCTTCCCTCTACTGCTACACTTAGCTGACGCTCGCCTCTTCCCTCTACTGCTACACTTAGCTGCCGCTCGTCTCTTCCCTCTACTGCTACACTTAGCTGCCGCTCGTCTCTTCCCTCTACTGCTACACTTAGCTGCCGCTCGTCTCTTCTCCCTCCTGAGTCTCAGCTTGAGAGTTGCTCTTGCGACCAAGCTGCCGCAGAATTGAGCGCACTCCATTTATCGACTTGAACTGGACTCCCATTTTTGGCACCATAGTGGACTGCTTTGTTTTGTTGGTGTCACATCCATGGCTTTATTTGTTGGTGTCACATCCCGAACGTGCAGAAAACCCGTTAGGTTAGGCATCTTTGGTATCTTCAAATGATTTTAGATGTCATTTAAAAAAAAACAAAAACCTGAAACATGTCAGAATGCTTTTGCACAGAGCAGCCTGGATCCTCTTCTTTTCAGGTCCCTCGTGGGCAGTCCTGGCTCCTCCCCCTCAGCCTCTTGCTAAGCTTCTGTGAATAGACATTGTCCATTCACACACAAAGCGTGCCTAAGCTCCGCCCCTTTCTCTTTTCTCATTGGCTGTGATTGACGAGTGTGCGGCCCTGAGCACAGAATGTGTGTGTTTGGGGCCCCCAAATTGGGAGCAATGGCTGTGCCCGTGCAGCTACTGTGCCCTGCTTGAAAAGAAATGGGACTGCCCACACGGGGACGACTGTGAGCAAACACCGACCCCCGCAGGGCGTACGAGTGAACAAAGCACCACGATACAGGTGGGAGGTGAACGAATTCTTGGTGTGCGGTACTTACATGTGTTCTTCATACATGTGTTGGTGGAGGAGCACAGCTCCGTCATGTACACGGCGCTCTGATGTCCATCCCCCGAGGGAGCCGTCAGTACAGATATCTGCAGGACAAAGACAATTCTTCAGTCATCCAACTTAGGAATAAGATCGGCCATACATGGATCGAAATTCGACCTAAAAATAATCGGCTGATTTTCGCTCTGTTAGTGGGGTCGATGGCACCGGCCGATTTTCGTGGTTCCTCCCCTTTTCAGTGATCGGCATGCTGGAAAATCAGTGAAAAATGACAGATTTTCGACACAATGATGGTCAAAACGTACGATCGTTTTTTCAAAAAGAATACGCGCCATGAGCCGCGACCTGGAAGGAATGGAAGTTTCGCCTGTTATATGGGGGGGACTTTATGACTCGGCCGATTTTCTAAATCAATGATGGCGCCATCGGATTAGCGAGTGAACGGCGTTTTCGATTTTCAGACGGAAAACTGTTCGGAATTCGAACCATGTATGGCCTGCATAAGGATTGTCATTCGTCCCGAGTTCATCAGAATTATGGAAAAATCGATCGATGGATAAAAATATTTTTATACCCAATTAAATGACGTTCAGTTTTCTCGGTGCGCCATAAACAATCGTTCTGGAAATAAAATCTTGTTTCCGCCATTCCCCCCCCCCCCCCCCCCCCCCCCCCCTCACTTCCACGCTGCTGATCTCTCCCACTACCTAGTGCCTGTGGTCAACAAGAGGAATAGTGTCCCATCATTGGTGTCAGTGGGAGGAATAGTGCCCCATCATTGGTGTCAGTGGGAGGAATAGTGCCGCATCATTGGTGTCAGTGGGAGGAACAGTGCCCCGTCATTGGTGTCAGTGGGAGGAATAGTGCCCCATCATTGGTGTCAGTGGGAGGAATAGTGCCCCATCATTGGTGTCAGTGGGAGGAATAGTGCCCCGTCATTGGTGTCAGTGGGAGGAATAGCGCCCCGTCATTGGTGTCAGTGGGAGGAATAGTGCCCCGTCATCGGTGTCAGTGGGAGGAATAGCGCCCCGTCATTGGTGTCAGTGGGAGGAATAGCGCCCCATCATCGGTGTCAGTGGGAGGAATAGCGCCCCATCATCGGTGTCAGTAGGAGGAATAGTGTCCCATCATTGGTGTCAGTGGGAGGAATAGTGCCCCATCATTGGTGTCAGTGGGAGGAATAGTGCCCCATCATTGGTGTCAGTGGGGGGGAATAATGCCCCATCATTGGTATCAGTGGGAGGAATAGTGCCCCATCATTGGTGTTAGTGAGGGGAATAGTGCCCCATCATTGGTGTCAGTGGAAGGAATAGTGCCCCATCATTGGTGTCAGTGGGGGGGAATAATGCCCCATCATTGGTGTCAGTGGGAGGAATAGTATACCATCATTGGTGTCAGTGGGAGGAATAGTATCCCATCATTGGTGTCAGTGGGAGGAATAGTATCCCATCATTGGTGTCAGTGGGAGGAATAGTATCCCATCATTGGTGTCAGTGGGAGGAATAGTATCCCATCATTGGTGTCAGTGGGAGGAATAGTATCCCATCATTGGTGTCAGTGGGAGGAATAGTATCCCATCATTGGTGTCAGTGGGAGGAATAGTATCCCATCATTGGTGTCAGTGGGAGGAATAGTGCCCCATCATTGGTATCAGTGGGAGGAATAGTGCCCCATCATTGGTGTCAGTGGAAGGAATAGTGCCCCATCATTGGTATCAGTGGGAGGAATGGTGCCCCATCATTGGTGTTAGTGGGAGGAATAGTGCCCCATCATTGGTGTCAGTGGGGGGGGGGGATAGTGCCCCATCATTGGTATCGGTGGAAGGAATAGTGCCCCATCATTGGTGTCCGTGGAAGGAATAGTGCCCCATCATTGGTATCAGTGGGAGGAATAGTGCCCCATCATTGGTGTCAGTGGGAGGAATAGTGCCCCATCATTGGTGTCAGTGGGAGGAATAGTGCCCCATCATTGGTATCAGTGGCAGGAATAGTGCTCTATCATTGTGTCAGTGGGAGGAATAGTGCCCCATCATTGGTGTCAGTGGGAGGAATAGTGTCCCATCATTGGTATCAGTGGGAGGAATAGTGCCCCATCATTGGTGTCAGTGGGAGGAATAGTGCCCCATCATTGGTGTCAGTGGGAGGAATAGTGCCCCATCATTGGTGTCAGTGGGAGGAATAGTGCCCCATCATTGGTGTCAGTGGGAGGAATAGTGCCCCATCGTTGGTGTCAGTGGGAGGAATAGTGCCCCATCATTGGTATCAGTGGGAGGAATAGTGCCCCGTCATTGGTGTCAGTGGGAGGAATAGTGTCCCATCATTGGTGTCAGTGGGAGGAATAGTGCCCCATCATTGGTATCAGTGGGAGGAATAGTGCCCCGTCATTGGTGTCAGTGGGAGGAATAGTGCCCCCTCATTGGTGTCAGTGGGAGGAATAGTGCCTCATCATTGGTGTCAGTGGGAGGAATAGCGCCCCATCATTGGGCACCTCTGTTTTATGGTAAGCTGCAGATTTAGTTTTTGGGTTTACATTTACTTTAAGGATCTATTTCAAACAAATCTATTGATAGTGGAACATACTGTGGTGGTGTCACTGCTAGATTCCTCGGCAGCCACTTTCAGATAAGAGCTCAGAATGTACACAGCTCCCTCCTCTGCTATGGAAAGTATCTACCCCCAGCCTAGAGAACGTCATCGAACCAGAGGCCTCTATGGCAGAAACAACGGAGTGCCCACAGCAGACTACAGCTGAACTCCCAGACCAATCCCTCACCATCTTGTCCTTTACGGCCCCCTTCACACACAGTATGTTCCTTCTTCATCTGCCCATTTATGGATGAAAAACGGACCCCCCCATGTATTTCTATGGACTAGCGGATGTAAACGGATGATCAGCTGTTTACAGCCAATAATGTCCACATCCCTATCAAAAAAAAATAGAACGGACGAAAAAACTGATGTGAAACGGACATACAGTCCATTCTTTCATTGGTAAAAGATGTAAAAAACTGACATGAACTAATATAGTGATATAGTGAATGCGTGGTCTGGGGAGAGCGGATATAGTGACTGCGGGGTCCGGGGAGAGCGGATATAGTGACTGCGGAGTCCGGGGAGAGCGGATATAGTGAATGCGGGGTCCGGGGAGAGCGGATATAGTGAATGCGGGGTCCGGGGAGAGCGGATATAGTGAATGCGGGGTCCGGGGAGAGCGGATATAGTGAATGCAAGGTCCGGGGAGAGCGGATATAGTGAATGCGGGGTCCTGGGAGAGCGGATATAGTGAATGCGGGGTCCGGGGAGAGCGGATATAGTGAATGCGGGGTCCGGGGAGAGCGGATATAGTGAATGCAAGGTCCGGGGAGAGCGGATATAGTGAATGCAAGGTCCGGGGAGAGCGGATATAGTGAATGTGGGGTCCTGGGAGAGCGGATATAGTGAATGCGGGGTCCGGGGAGAGCGGATATAGTGAATGCGGGGTCCGGGGAGAGCGGATATAGTGAATGCAGGGTCTGGGGAGAGCGGATATAGTGACTGCGGGGTCCGGGGGAGAGCGGATATAGTGACTGCGGAGTCCGGGGAGAGCGGATATAGTGAATGCGGGGTCCGGGGAGAGCGGATATAGTGAATGCGGGGTCCGGGGAGAGCGGATATAGTGAATGCGGGGTCCGAGGAGAGCGGATATAGTGAATGCGGGGTCCGAGGAGAGCGGATATAGTGAATGCGGGGTCCGAGGAGAGCGGATATAGTGAATGCGGGGTCCGGGGAGAGCGGATATAGTGAATGCGGGGTCCGGGGAGAGCGGATGTAGTGAATGCGGGGTCCGGGGGAGAGCGGATGTAGTGAATGCGGGGTCCGGGGAGAGCGGATGTAGTGAATGCGGGGTCCGGGGGAGAGCGGATGTAGTGAATGCGGGGTCCGGGGAGAGCGGATGTAGTGAATGCGGGGTCCGGGGGAGAGCGGATATAGTGAATGCGGGGTCCGTGGAGAGCGGATATAGTGAATGCGGGGTCCGGGGAGAGCGGATATAGTGAATGCGGGGTCCGGGGAGAGCGGATATAGTGAATGCGGGGTCCGGGGAGAGCGGATATAGTGAATGCGGGGTCCGGGGAGAGCGGATATAGTGAATGCGGGGTCCGGGGAGAGCGGATATAGTGAATGCGGGGTCCGGGGGAGAGCGGATGTAGTGAATGCGGGGTCCGGGGAGAGCGGATGTAGTGAATGCGGGGTCCGGGGAGAGCGGATGTAGTGAATGCGGGGTCCGGGGAGAGCGGATGTAGTGAATGCGGCGGGGGTCCGGGGAGAGCGGATGTAGTGAATGCGGGGTCCGGGGAGAGCGGATGTAGTGAATGCGGGGTCCGGGGAGAGCGGATGTAGTGAATGCGGGGTCCGGGGAGAGCGGATGTAGTGAATGCGGGGTCCGGGGAGAGCGGATGTAGTGAATGCGGGGTCCGGGGAGAGCGGATGTAGTGAATGCGGGGTCCGGGGAGAGCGGATGTAGTGAATGCGGGGTCCGGGGAGAGCGGATATAGTGAATGCGGGGTCCCGGGGGAGAGCGGATATAGTGAATGCGGGGTCCGGGGAGAGCGGATATAGTGAATGCGGGGTCCGGGGAGAGCGGATATAGTGAATGCGGGGTCCGGGGAGAGCGGATATAGTGAATGCGGGGTCCGGGGAGAGCGGATATAGTGAATGCGGGGTCCGGGGAGAGCGGATATAGTGAATGCGGGGTCCGGGGAGAGCGGATATAGTGAATGCGGGGTCCGGGGAGAGCGGATATAGTGAATGCAAGGTCCGGGGAGAGCGGATATAGTGAATGCGGGGTCCTGGGAGAGCGGATATAGTGAATGCGGGGTCCGGGGGAGAGCGGATATAGTGAATGCGGGGTCCGGGGAGAGCGGATATAGTGAATGCAAGGTCCGGGGAGAGCGGATATAGTGAATGCAAGGTCCGGGGAGAGCGGATATAGTGAATGTGGGGTCCTGGGAGAGCGGATATAGTGAATGCGGGGTCCGGGGAGAGCGGATATAGTGAATGCGGGGTCCGGGGAGAGCGGATATAGTGAATGCGGGGTCCGGGGGGAGAGCGAATATAGTGAATGCGGGGTCCGGGGAGCCATCGTACCTCTTGGTCAGACTCGGATTTCAGCACGGAACGGTCAGTGATGAGAACAGCGCGGGAGATTTGCCTGCATAAAAGTAACAAAAATTTAAAAAATTAGTAATTCTTCACTTTTCTATGAAATGACAGTTCAGTTTTGGTCTTCAGTTCACAAAAAGAAAAGCAGGAAAGTGGATGAAGTACAGAGAAGAGCAACAAAACCACTAACAGGCAGAAGGAGGAGGTGCAGGAGGAGTGCCGCTACGAGGAAAGATTTTATTCTCCCTTTAAGTTTATATCCACTTTTGCAGCTGAATTTGAACACCTACCATATATTTGTTACTGCGGGTTCACATCTGTGGGGACCGCGATTTGCACAGGAGCCCATTCATTTGCCCCGGGAAACGCAGGGAAGAAGTCTCTGCACTACTTGGGAAATCGCAGTCCACACGGGCACTGAGTTTCCCAGTACGGTTTGCGATATACAGTGCGTGCGGCGTGCCATTACAATGAATGGCACCTACCTGCAGGTCCCGCATTGCTCTGTGCGGCTGCAGGTATTTGTGCGGGTCCCGGGGCAGCACCACCCGCACAGATGTGAACTAAGGGTTACATGTCCCCATGAACATAGCATAGTTAAAAAAAAAAAATGTTGGTTACTTTTTTCAGTGCTTTTTACTTGCTTTCATGCTCTCCCTGCTTTGTAATGTTCAATCCTCATGCACACGGGGCGTTTCAAAAACGCCCGCAGCGTTAAAAACGCATATTTTCTGCATTTGTTAGCATTTTTGCATTAGCATTTAGCCATATTTGCAGTTTTTTATTTATTTATTTTTTTTTTTTACACAAAAAAAATTTAAATTTTAGCTAAAAAAACCCCCAAAAAAACCAAGAAAAAAACCCACCAAAAATATCAGTTTGCCACGTTTTGCCAGCATTTTTACAGCTTAAAAAAAAAAAAAACCTCCTCCAGAAACCGGCTAGTTCGGGGGGGGGGGGGGGGGGGGGGGGGGGGGGGGGGGGGGGATTTTTGCACTTTTGTTTTACCTGCAAAAATCTGTGCATTTATTAGTTTTAAAAATTTCAGCAAAAATAAAATCAAAAACATTGCTTTAAAAAAATTGAAAAGGGTTGGAAGGGTTAACATTTCTGTCAGGTTTTGATTTTTGGCTGTCACCCCATTGGGGGAGATTTTCCCTCACTTCCTGTCCCCCATACAAGGAATGGCCGTGTAGTTGTCACTGATACAGGAAGGAACGGACAGCAATAAAAATGGATAAAAAATGTAAACCAACCCCTCCCCAGGACTTCTCACCTGTATGGTACCTGTGTGCAGGTCTCCTCCGTCAGGTAGCCGTCCTCTACGAGGACATAGTTGCAGCCGATGCGTTTCCCGTCGCTGTCAATGACGGCCGCACACCTGTAGAGACAACATTCTGCACGTCACATTCTGGACATCATTCACTTCGCATTCGGCTCGGAGATGGACATGGTGGGTGGACGGCTCTGAAAGAGGATGTGCTGGTGGATCCAAAACCGACCAATCAGGTTTCCCTTCCTCTCCATGGATATCCAAAGCAAAACCTGTGTTTACTGAGCAGGCAGACCCGGTCCTGTGTCTCTCCTCCACCTCCACCCATATTGGGACCCCATATTGCCTGTAAAAGACCCCACTATGTAAGAGTAGGGGTCTGTGGGGGTTGTATTGGTTCCGGGGAGGAGGGTGGTAGGGGGTTGCTGCCTATGCAGTGCCAACTCAAAGCAAATAAAAAGGAGAAGAGATCCGACATCCATAAAATTAAAACAAATTGTGCCAGTAGACAAGGAGTTAATAAAAATATTTTTTTTACTTTTTTTTTTATTTTACATTTGTAGAAAATAAGTAAAATATTTACTCAAATAAAATAAAAATTAGAAGAGATCCAATGTCCATATAATTAAAAAAATGTACCAGTAGACAAGGAGTTAATAAAAATAATTGTTTTACTTATTTTCTACAAACATAAAAAATAAAAAAAAAAGTTAAATATTTACTCAAAGCAAATAAAAAGGAGAAGAGATACGACGTCCATATAATAAAAAAAATTGTGCCAGCAGACAAGGAGTTAATAAAAATAATTTTTTTTACTTATTTTCAACAAATGTAAAAAAACACAAAAGTAAAAAATGTACTCAAAGCAAGTAGAAAGGGGAAGAGATCCGACATCCATATAATTAAAAAAATGTGCCAGTAGACAAGGAGTCAATAAAAATAATTGTTTTACTTATTTTCTACAAACATAAAAAAATAAATAAAAAAAAAAATTATATATACAGTTGCAAGAAAAAGTATGTGAACCCCTTGGGATTACGTGGAGTTTTGCATGAATTGGGCATAAAATGTGCTCTGAACGTCATCTAAGTCACAACAATAGAAGAACACAGTCTGCTGAACATAATACTACACAAACATTAGATGTTGCCATGGTTTAATTGCACATAACATGTAAACATTCACAGTGCAGGGAGGAAAAAGTATGTGAACCTTTGGACTTAATAACTGGTTGACCCTCCTTTGGCAGCAATAACCTCAACCAAACGTTTCCTGTAGTTGCAGATCAGACCTGCACAACGATCTGGAGTCATTTTGGACCACTCCTCTTCACAAAACTGTTTCAGTGTAGCAATATTCTTGGGATGTCTGGTGTGAATCGCTCTCTTAAGGTCATGCCACAGCATTTCAATGGGGTTGAGGTCAGGACTCTGACTGGGCCACTCCAAAAGGCGTATTCTGTGCTGTTGCAGCCATTGTTTTGTTGAATTACTTGTATGCTTTGGGTCATTGTCCTGTTGCATCACCCATCCTCTGCAGAGCTTCAGTTGGCGGACAGATGGTCGTACGTTTTCCTGCAAAATGTCTTGATAAACTCTGGAATTAATTTTCCCATCAATGACAACAATCCGTCCAGCCCTGAGGCAGCAAAGCAGCCCCAAACCATGATGCTCCCTCCGCCATGTTTCACAGTGGTGATGATGTTTTGATGCTGGTGTGCTGTGTCTTTTTTTCTCCACACATAGTGTTGTGTGTTCTTCCCAAACAACTCAATCTTGGTGTCATCTGTCCGCAGTATATTCTGCCAGTAGTGCTGTGGAACATCCAGGTGCTCTTTTGCAAACTTCAAACGTGCTGCAATATTCTTTTTGGACAGCAATGGCTTCCTCCGTGGTGTCCTCCCATGTACTCCATTCTTGTTTAATGTTTTCCTTATTGTAGATGTGTCAACAAAAATGTTAGCATGTGCCAGAGATTTCTGTAGGTCTTTAGCTGACACTCTGGGATTCTTCTTTACCTCATGCAGCATTCTGCGCTGTGCTCTTGCAGTCATTTTTACAGAACGACCACGCCTAGGGAGAGTAGCAACAGTGCTAAACTTTCTCCATTTGTAGACAGTCTGTCTTACCGTGGACACATCAACATCAAGGCTTTTGGAGATACTTTTGTAACCCTTTTCAGCTTCATGCAAGTCAACAATTGATCGTAGGTCTTCTGAGAGCTCTTTTCTGTGAGGCATGGTTCACATCACACAGTGCTTCTTGAAACCAGTAAACCCAAAACAGGTGTGTGTTTTTCAAGGGCAGGACAGCTGTCAGCAACACATCCAATATCATCACACTGATTGGAGTCAAGGTTGGCTCACTCCTGGCTCCAATTATCTCTGGGAGAAGTCATTAAGCTAGGGCCTCACATACTTTTTCCTCCCTGCACTGTGAATGTTTACATGTTATGTGCAATTAAACCATGGCAACATCTAATGTTTGTGTAGTATTATGTTCAGCAGACTGTGTTCTTCTATTGTTGTGACTTAGATGACGTTCAGAGCACATTTTATGCCCAATTCATGCAAAACTCCACGTAATCCCAAGGGGTTCACATACTTTTTCTTGCAACTGTATATATAAAATTATTATTAATATTATACAGGATTTATACAGCGCCAACGGTTTGCTCAGCGCTTTACATATACACACACATATATATATATATATATATTTAAAGCAAATAAAAAGGAGAAGCGATTCGAAGTCCATATAATTAAAAAAATGTGCCAGTAGTCAGTTAATAAAAATAATTGTTTTACTTATTTTCTACAAACGTAAAAAAAAAGAAAAAAAAAGTAAAATATTTAATTAAAGCAAATAAAAAGGAGAAGAGATCTGATATCCATATAATAAAAAAAAAAGTGCCAGTAGACAAGGAGTTAATAAAAATAATTATTTTACTTTTTTTCTACAAACGTAAAAAAAAAAAGAAAAAAAAAGAAAAATATTTATTTAAAGGAAATAAAAATGAGAAGAGATCTGATGTCTAGTTAATTTAAAAAAAATTGTGCCAGTAGACAAGGAGTTAATAAAAATAATTGTTTTACTTATTTTCTACAAACATAAAAAATAAAAAAAAAAGTTAAATATTTACTCAAAGCAAATAAAAAGGAGAAGAGATACGACGTCCATATAATAAAAAAAATTGTGCCAGCAGACAAGGAGTTAATAAAAATAATTTTTTTACTTATTTTCAACAAATGTAAAAAAAACACAAAAGTAAAAAATGTACTCAAAGCAAGTAGAAAGGGGAAGAGATCCGACGTCCATATAATTAAAAAAAATGTGCCAGTAGACAAGGAGTCAATAAAAATAATTGTTTTACTTATTTTCTACAAACATAAAAAAAAAAAAATAAATAAAAAATTATATATATATATATATATATATATATATATATATATATATATATAAATAAAAAATTATTATTAATATTATACAGGATTTATACAGCGCCAACGGTTTGCTCAGCGCTTTACATATACACACACATATATATATATATATATATTTAAAGCAAATAAAAAGGAGAAGCGATTCGAAGTCCATATACCGTATTTTTCGCACCATAAGACGCACTTTTTTCCCCCCCAAAAAGGGGGGAAAATGTCAGTGCGTCTTATGGAGCGAATGTAAAGCGGCCGGTCCGGTATTTCTGCCGCCACCATGTCAGAATACCGGGCCGGCCGCTCAGCTGTTCTCCCCTGCAGGGCCTTACCTGTTCCTCGCTCCAGCGCTGCACAGTCTTCCCGCGCTGGCTTCTGTGACAGCCGGGTGCCCACTGCGCATGTGCTGCGCTTTGTGAATGATCCGGTGTCTTCTGGGACACATGAAAGGTCACAGAAGGCGCCGGGCCATTCACAAAGCGAAGCGCTTCTTGCACCTGCGCAGTGGGCACCCGGCTGTCACAGAAGCCGGCCCGGGAAGAAGAGGGAAGGCAACTCCGCGGAAGTGGGAGCGGGTACCTGTCAAATTCAGGTACCCGCTCCCCCTCCCTCCCCAAAGGTCAGCAGTCTCTGGTCATCCCCTTCACTGTCTGCAGTCTCTGGTCATTCCCTGCACTGTCCGCAGTCTCTGGTCATCCCCTGTACTGTCTGCAGTCTCTGGTCATTCCCTGTACTGTCCGCAGTCTCTGGTCATTCCCTGTACTGTCTGCAGTCTCTGGTCATTCCCTGTACTGTCTGCAGTCTCTGGTCATTCCCTGTACTGTCCGCAGTCTCTGGTCATTCCCTGCACTGTCCGCAGTCTCTGGTCATTCCCTGCACTGTCCGCAGTCTCTGGTCATTACCTGCACTGTCCGCAGTCTCTGGTCATCCCCTGCACTGTGTCCGCAGTCTCTGGTCATATCCTGCACTGTGTCCGCAGTCTCTGGTCATCTCCTGCACTGTGTCCGCAGTCCCTGGTCATCTCCTGTACTGTGTCCGCAGTCTCTGGTCATCTCCTGTACTGTGTCCGCAGTCTCTGGTCATCTCCTGTACTGTTTCTGCAGTCTCTGGTCATCTCCTGTACTATGTCCGCAGTCTCTTGGTCATCCCCTGTACTTTGTCCGCAGTCTCTGGTCATCTCCTGTACTATGTCCGCAGTCTCTGGTCATCTCCTGTACTATGTCCGCAGTCTCTGGTCATCCCCTGTACTATGTCTGCAGTCCATTGGTTCAGAATATTTTTTTTTCTTGTTTTTCACCTCTAAAACCTAGGTGCGTCTTATGGAGCGAAAAATACGGTAATTAAAAAAATGTGCCAGTAGTCAGTTAATAAAAATAATTGTTTTACTTATTTTCTACAAACGTAAAAAAAAAAAGAAAAAAAAAAAGTAAAATATTTATTTAAAGCAAATAAAAATGAGAAGAGATCTGATGTCTAGTTAATTTAAATAAAAAAAAATTATATATATATATATATATATATATATATATATATATATAAAATTATTATTAATATTATACAGGATTTATACAGCGCCAATGGTTTGCTCAGCGCTTTACATATACACACACATATATATATATATATATATTTAAAGCAAATAAAAAGGAGAAGAGATTCGAAGTCCATATAATTA